GTGATTCTTTTGACTCGGTATTTGGTCTTTTGACTTCCCGATGTTCTTTTGTGGAACTATTTGAGTGTCTTCTTGATGTTTCGTGTGTCTAGAACTATATGGTAGGATTCCATGTAGGTTTTGGTGTCTTGAATCGTGCTAAGTGTTCAACCTTGTGATTCGTTGAACCGTGATGAGTCTTGTGTGTTCTTCGGAACTATGTTTGGTTTACCCGTTTGATAAGCATGCTAGTTCGGTGTTTAAATGCTAGCGTGTGTGTTGTTTGTCCTTTCCTATTGTGGATGATGACTTGTGTTAATCATCGTTGGAGTCGGATTGTGATCCTTTCCTTGTTGAGTGTGGTTTCATATCTTCGTTGAGATCTGTTGATTGATTCCTATCATGGTGTGGTGTGTGTGGCTGTACCTGGATTGTACGATTAATGGTATGGGACATTAGTCACCAAGGTACGGTAGTGGTCCTCGTGGTGGCCATGACGCGATTATGGAGTTTGTGACCTTTGTGTAAGGTTCACGTATTTGTTAAGGGTAACATGTGTTACCAAGGCATGTGTTGCCATGTGTGATCGGTACCCTCATGTACTATGAAATCTGTGGTATTGTTGGAGATTGTCGGAGTGGGGACGATGGTCCTCGGGGGAATAAGGGGTCCTGGAGGTACAGGTTGGAACTAGCTATAAGGTTGGGGGTAGCCATAAGGTTGGAACCGGGCATAAGGAAGGCATATCAATTCGTGATGGGTGATGTCAGGAAGGCTTGTGTAGCCATTGTGTGTGTGATTCTCTATTTGTGACATGTGTTGTCACAAAGGCATGTGTTGCCAATGGTTGTATCCTTATTCTCTTGTGTTATGCATGTCGGGTGATAATCTACTATGTGATGGTAGATTACGCCTTGAGCCGTTCTTGTGTGTCGTTGTACTTCTTTTTGTTTTGGGATGTGTTCCCTTATCTTTGTTGTGAGTGCATAAGAGTCTTGTGTTTGACTTCTACTCTTAGCTTTGAACTTATATATATACTATATCCGTTTCGCAAATGATTTTATATAAATAAGCTATATACATATGATATTTCACATGTATTGGTGGGTTACCAGCATTATTCGTTGACTGGGCGTCGTCCCATATATTTATGTCTTTCTTTCAGGTGCTGAGTAGACGAGAGCGCGTTCTAGTGACAGATAGTGTAGATTCCCTTGAACCTTGTGATGGTTTTGGCCTGTGCGCCGTTGTTAGACTTTAGACTCCTTATCGTTGGCTTTGTTTTGAATAGTGGATTATGTTGCAGACGTTTACGCCTGTGCATTCACTGTTGGGTGGGCGTGACATAGCACCCTATGTTTTTCATATATTCCATATTTAGTCTTCCGTTGTGTATGTTTTTATGGCTAGTTATCTGCATGATTAAGGTTTAAATTAGTATGGAAATCGGGGGTGTTACACCAAAAGATACAGGTGTCACCGCCACAATTACCCCACATGGTGACTGCATAGGCTACAAAAAGATAACTATCTAGAGTCAAGCTCATCAAAATCATCATCAATACTTGGGGAACAAACCCCGGTGTTCAAACACCAACAAAAGATCAGTCAAACATCTAAACATCAATGTCTAAAGTAGAATCTAAGCTAGAATCTACCATCACATAACTACGCACTAATCTAACTCGTACGCTCTCAAACACTGGGCCCACCTGAACGAGGTTATTAAAACAAGTAGGAAAAGAAACCCGTTAGCAATTAATGCTCAGTATAAAGCCACTCAACCCTGTAAAGTACGGTAGATATAGATTTAGAAAACGTTTGACAATCACACATAATCTCAAGTACTTTGAAACACTTAAACAACAATCTCAATACATGCTCATAAACAACTCTATATGCTAGAATCCTAGGCTTCATATAAACAAGTTCTTCTCAAATACTCAACTTAAACACAATTCTCATGCTTTAAACAGATATCTCTAATCATAACTCATCATGTAATACTCATGCTCAAATTGATAGGTAAAGAGATATTTAAAACTCAACAAGCAAGCTCATGCTATCATGCCAACTCATAAACAACAACAAGTATTGTACTTCTCATCATACCCTATATGCAAATCATACAACAGGAAATGTCAAGATGCTATATATATATATATATATATATATATATATATATATATATATATATATATATATATATATATATATATATATATATATTTATATATATATACACTAGTATTTGCACCCGTGCGATGCACGACCATAGATAATAATAATAAAAATAATAATATAATTAAGAGTGAATTCCATTTTTGGTCCACTGTTATATGGGCATTTTCAATTTTAGTCCACCTTAATTTTTTTTGCCAATTTATAACCACTATTATTGAATGTATTCCACTTTTAGTTCAACCGTTAGTATTTCCATCAAGAGGCCGTGTAATATCTAGGGGTATTTTGACCTTTCTTCTCATCCAAGACTATGTTTGACTAAAGAAATGAGAACATTAAACCTAAAACCTAAGAAACTTCGCCGGCCCATGTTGGAACGAACGAAACGATGTAGCTTTGGCTTCCCATTCTCGTTGTTCGAAGAGCCATCTTCGAATATCGGAGGAGGACGAAGCGCCTAGATTAAAAGAGAAGAGACAAACATAAAAAGACTAAAATACCATTTGATTATACGGCCTCTTGACGGAAATATTAACGGTGGACTAAAAGTGGAACACATTTAATAACAGTGGTTGTAAAGTGGCAAAAAAATAAAAGTGGACTGAAATTAGAAACGCCCCTATAAGAGTAGGACCAAAAATGGAATTCACTCTATAATCTTAACTATAATAAAGCTATATGGTTTTGGAAGTAATTAATGTTACAATTAATGCCACAACATCCTTTATTATAAAAAAACAAAAAAAAAACACAACTTTTGAAAAATAAAATAGCTATATATTATATAATCCTATAAAAAATGTACTTTTGAAAAATAAAATAGCTATATATTATATAATCATATAAAAAATGTGTTCAATTAGAGTTTAAATTTACTCATACAAAATTTGAAATTTGCTTTCCAAATGTAATTATCTTAGTTATTATTCATATTGTGAAAATTATAATATAGATGAAATACAATTAAAAATAAATCAATGTAATTATGTAAATTCTCTCTATAAGTTTATTTGAATATGCACATAATTAGAGATTATATTAACCATACAAAATTTTAATTTTAATTTTAATTGTAATTTTGTATTCTATAAAAATAATAAAAACTTGACCAATAGAAGCTCAAAAATATTATTATATTAAACAATTTAAAATATTTTAGTTTTTCTATTTTTATTTATATTTATAATAACATAAATTTTTTCGTGCATCGCGCGGGTGAATTACTAGTTAAACAATATAACATAATAATAATAATTAAAAAATAAAGAAAAAATGAAATTTAGCAATTGTATTACACATTAATGAAAACGTCTTTGTATACGGTATTCTTAGTCGTATTTTAAGTATATTTTTTTCTATCTTTAACCCATTATACAAAATTATGTACCAAGTTTTATTTCTTCACTAAAATAATTTGTTTTTCTTTACATAAATTAAGACTTTGTAATATAAATTTAAATATTTTAATATAAAATTTAATTATAATGTAAAATATTATTTTATTTCGTATATCAGATTTTACACTAAAAGAAATATTTTTCATATGTTCTTACAGCTAATTTTTCATCTCCAACCCATTACATCAATATTATTTTATAATATTAAATTAACAAATATAGTACTTAATATAATAAATTCTTGGCATAAGCTTTATTTCTTTCATTTTTTTTTTAAATAATCCGGCCCAAAACTAACGCATTAATGTAGCCTTTAACCCGAACCCAATAAAATCATTAATAAAACGTTTTCTCTTAACATTAAGACCATCTCTAACCCTCTGCACCAATTTCTACAACAAATTTTACACACAAAAAAAAAAAAAAAAAAAAAAAAAATCTCAGTATATTTTTACATCAAATTTCTCTCTCTCCAACCCATTACACAAAGTTTTATTTCTTCACTAAAATAATTTATTTTTTCATAAATTAAGACTTTGTATTATAACTTCAAATATTTTAATATAAAATATAACTGTAATGTAAATATTATTCTATTCCACAATAATAAATCATTCAACATCCATTACACCCATTACATTTAATTAAAATAGAGATGCAGTGACTTTGAAGATTATTACCTCTTCATTAAATAGCTAAATAATTAAATGTAACTTGCTTAAAACAATTACACAATTGTATTTTTTGCTCTAAATTTTTTTTTTTAATTTTTTTTTGTCCATAATCATTTAAGACAGTTACACAATAATAAACTGTAACTTGCCTAAAAACAGTTACACGAATTTTCCACTCTAAACTTTGCAGCTCTCATTCTCTCGCCTGTCGCTTAGGGTTTTCATCTCCAACTAACATGTGACCAGGCTCGGCTTGTACTCCAACCTTACATCCGTAATCACCGATACCAATCCTCAAACGAAGCTCTTCTTCTCAAGTATGTTCCTTTTTATGTAGCTTATGGGTTTCATCTTCTTCCTTCCTCTACCCAGATTTTCGAGTTCAATAGCTGGCTAGACCTCAGATCTTCCCTACACATATACCGATACACACTACGGCGTTGTATTGCAAATATACAGGTTCCTCTCTCTTGAAATGCAAAAACGCGATAATCAGAGGCCGAATAAGATGAGGGGGGCCAAAAACAAAAAACCTAGCACATACTCTCTGCTAGAAAACATTGCCGGCATTAAAAAAAAAAATTTGAAGATAAGTTTAATTTAATGCCTTACTATAATTTGTTTTTAAATACTTTAGGTTGGGGCAAATGAGATAACAATCTGATGTCACTGTTTTCCACGAATCAAAGAATTTGTATGTTATGTTTTCATGATTTATTAGAGTGTATATATTGATTTAACAATCTATTTTCTTCTATAAATTCAGGATTCAAAGGAGCAGGAGTTTCTAGCTAGTGATTCTGAAATGAAAAAGAGGGAAGAGGTATGAGGTATGATTTTGAATTCTGTTTTGCTTGAATTTCATTTTCTTTGCTCCAGTTTGATTTTAGGTTGGATTACAACATCTCCTATTCAAATCTTGTAAAGGGTCTTCTATTTCAGAGATATTTAGCTGCTTTACTTTCTTGAATTTTTAATATCCATGAAATTCTCAGGAATGTTGTTAACATTCATTGTAGTCATTTTATGACTCATTCCTTCACAAACCCAATACTCTCACTCATTTGCCTAAAATACTAAAAAGAGAAATGGGTTATCATCCTAAAATGTTTCTTACCATTTTTCAACCAATCTAGAACAGTAGGTGGACAATAAGTACTCACTCCTGAGCAGGTCTGAAAATGCTATAAAGAAAGATAACATTACCTGATCATCATGAAGCAAACACTCAATGCTCTTGCCGGTATGCCTCTCCCCTTGTTTCAGGCACTTCATACACCAACGTGCTCTTAATCTCACTTCACTTCAGGGATTTCTTTTACAGGCACAAACACCGAAGGCATTTTTAGGAATCTCTGCAGGTGGTGAAGATGCAATGTGCTGATGAAAACTGCTGAAAATCTGGACGAATTTGATCTCTGAAGTGAGCCTTTTATAGGCTTAAAGACCATATTACATTGCTGCCCTTTAACAATTTTCAAGACCAACCACCTTATTGGAATTGCAAGCTTGAATTAAATGCTGTTGCTTTAAATTTAAATTTTATTTGATTATCTCATTTGTTTATTTATTTTTAATTACCTGGTCTGTAATAATTAAAAGTATATACATACTGTAATATATATATATATATATATATATATATATATATATATATATATACACGTGATCACGGTATAGTGTATATATTTTTAATTATATTTACTTAGTTTTTCAATGTATTCTACCTTGGAAATGTCACGATGCATTTAATTACTCAGATATTATATACATGGGTAACACAATGCATTTTAAAATTATTGTACAAAACAATACAATTAGTGGCTGAGACTCATCGAATTCTTAATTCTAATGTGAACAACATTAAATAATCAATCTCTGATTACAGCAGTCCAAAACGACTGCGTTTTTGCTAGGCGGGAGTTTTTTGCTCTAACACGATTCCTTAGGGGTGTGGCTATTTTATATAGTAAGATATACTCTCGCTCTTATGTAAAAAGAAATACTTTTTCTATGGAGGTTTCTGTTGAGTCACATAGACTCACTTTTCTCATCTTTCTCTTGAGTCTCTCGACTCGATTTTCTCTTCTTTACTTTCTTGCTTTCTTTCAGTACTCGTGGGCGAGGTAGGAACTTCACGAATAGTGAACGAACCTATCCGGGCTCGGCATCTAGCCGGCCTAATACTCATCTCGCCCACAGAACCACTCTCTTGGTTCTTATCTCAATCTCTGTGGAATCAGGTATCGTACTTGTCAGTGTGCGCACGCCCTAACCAGGATTCCAAGCGTGGCGGGTAGTATCCAACCTAGTAACCCGGGAATATCGACCAAGTTACTTCATAAAATCTGTCGATCCTCTTTGACCGTTTTTTTCCTTTCTCAAACTTTCTTTCTTTATCTTTTCTTCCGAAAGGACCAAGTCCTAACGGGCCTCCAAAATACTATTTTCTCACAATAAATAACATATAAATATATTTCATGCAACTTCTTTCTCATGCAACAACTCTACTCATGCATATAATTCTCAACAACTTCTCTTTCTCACATTTTGGAAATCAAATATCATGCAACCTTCTCAATGCAACTAGATATTGAGTTTCCAAAATAGATATAGGTTTTTGAAATAGAACTTAAGCTTTACTTAGAGCCAATAATGCACTTTAAGCAAAGAAATCTACTAATATGCTCTTTACTATGAAAATATACTTTGCATTTCATTCAATGTGAAACAAGGAAATCAACACTTAGTAAAACTTCCCAATAAATACAATCAAGTATTTAGACATGCTTCTCAACTCAAAACATACTCAGTTGCTAGCAAATTCACTCTCTGATGCAAGTTCACAGACAAACAACAATAGAGTATTCATTTCTCACATTTCAAATTGTAAATCATGCTTTCTAACTCCAAATCAAATGAAACTAACTTCTACTAGTGCATCGTAACGAGGCCGAGTGTCCGAGCCTCAAGGGCGCACGTGTAACACCCCCGATTTTACCATATTCTTAAAACTTAATTGCAAGATAAAAACAATCTAATAAACCATAAACATTAAGCGGAAGCAAGTCTATACGGGGGCATTATGCCACATCTTAAATACTAAAAGATGCACAGGCAGGAAAAACTAAACCATTCATCAAAGTATAAAGAGTCAAGGCACACAGGCCGCTCAAAAGGCTCACAGGCCAACAACAAAACGTCTAGACAAGGACAAAACTATCTAATGCTCCAAGTTTAGCGCTCTCGGTCTCTACTCAAAACCTGTAGAATAAGGAAAACATAACATGGGGATGACACCCGGTCAACGAATATTGCTGGTAACCCATCAATACGCGTTAAATAACATATATAGATAAGTATAAGTCAAACCATTTTCGAAACAGAATATAGTATATATCATTTCAAAAGCCATAGAGAGAAGTCAACTTCAAGGACTCATTCACACTCTCAAAAGGAAAAGGAAGTCAACATCCTTACGACAACAACAAGACAATAATCATGAAAGACAAAACAACTCGAGATGCATTCTACTGATCACAAAGTAGAATACATCAAGACATGCTCAAAAGCAAAGAGTACACAATCACACATTGGCAACTACATGCCACAGTGACAACTACATGTCACAAGTATCATAGTTCCAAGTTCCAACCTTATGCCATGTTCCAACCTTATGGCTACCCCCGGCCTTATTTCAGTTCCAACCTTTACCTATGAGTGCCACCCTGTACTTCTGAGTCCAACCTTGTACCGCCATGGACCGTCGTCCCCCCTCCAACATAGCCTCCAACATACCGCCGAACTCTCAGTACACGAGGGTACCATTAATTTCAATCACATAGCCTCCAACATATGAGCCTTTGCTCAGGTAACACATCACCAATTTCAATCATGGTCACACAAGTCATCATTATTACCAAGAAGACTAAGGTTCAACAATAACCTTAATCAAGCATCAATCAAAGGGTACAACGATTACATACGTTCACATCATAGGAATCAATCAATGGATCACAACGAAGATATGAAACCATACTCAACAACGAAGGATCACAATCCGACACCAAAAGATGGTCAAGACAAGTTGCCAATCTCAATAAGAAAGAAAAAACCGCACACACTAGCATTTCAACATCAAACTAGCATGCTTATCAAACGGGTAAACCAAAAGTAATTCCATAGAACATACAAGACTCACATTAGTCCAACGAATCACAAAGTTGGACCCTTAGCACGATTCAAGACACCAAATCCTACATGGATTCCTAACATACCGTTCTAGACATACTAAACATCAAGAAGACTCACAAATAGCCCAATAAAACAACATCGGGAGGTCAAAACATCAATACCGAGTCAAAAGAATCACGGGGAACAAATCCCCGCCCATCATCATACATGTTCCCCGCGGGTGGGGCCACGTGTGGACTACCACCCGAGGTTCTGCCCGCGGGTACACAACCCGAGCGGCCACGTTCCCCGCGGGTGGGGCGGTGGGTAGGCCTCTGCCCGCCGTTCCGCTCGCGGGTACACCCTGTACTCCAAAATAATCCCTTCGGGGATTTCCAACAATAAGTCCAAATTCAAGTCTAAAACACCCAAAATCTCATTCAAAACAACAATATGACCTTAACCCAAGAAATAGCCAAGCAATGACATACAAGAACCCTAAGAACAAGCTCTAAACATGAATCACCACAAGATAATGCATCAAATCTCACATTTCAACACAAGAATCACAAGTAGAAGCCAAGAAATCATCATATAAATAAGAAAATAGGTTTTGTAAAGCATGGGTTACCTTTGTAGCCGAAAACTTCTCTTTCTCACCCTTAGAAAGCCTCTCCTAAAGCTCTTCTTCCACACCAACTTCATAAACAAACCAAAAGACAACAAAGATTCTATCTTTAGAAAAAGACATCTAAAAGGAGGTTAAAAACACCAAAAGATCAAGGATCTTACCCTCCACTATGCTCAAGATAAGGAAAGTAGGAATCTTGGAAGACAACTTGCAAGATTTAGGATGCCCAAATTCTAGCTTGGAGAAGAAGTTACCACTTCTTAGAGAGAAGTTAGAGATTTTGTGTTTAGATTGTTGGTGAATAAAATGAAGAGATGTTGCTAGGTTAGCTTGAACCACAAACCTTACGTAGAAAGACATCTTTGCCCTTACTAAAGTTGGAAGAATAAGGAAACAAGGGCACAACCCAATAAGCATAAGGTACAACCCTTTAGTCAAATTCTAGTCCTTCGACTATTGAATTTCCAGGATTTTTGGGAATAAATTAACAATGAGACTAGGATTAATTCTCTAATTAATCCTTGATTAGAGTTTGGATTTACGGGGTGTCACATCCTCTCCCCCTAACAAGAAGTTTCGTCCCTGAAGCTTGGGCACGACGAGTTCAAACGAAACGGGAGACACGAATCAGCCATGTGACAAAAGAAAGCAAGGATACCATTTAACCAAAAATTTGAGGATACAAAGGTGTAAGGTTTGCAACAATTAAGCAATTGCAAGGTTTAAAAAGGTCACAAAAGAACTTCTTAAGCAACACAAACGCTAAGGCCAAGACAACGACAACAACTAGGAGCCTTCTAAACGCACCTAAACTTATAACATCCAGATTCTAACAAAGCAACCCAACTACCCAAACAACAACTAACAAGCAAGATAAACAAGAACGAGCAACTAAGCGCAGCCAAAAAGCGACAACCACAGAACGACAACAACAAAACGAGAAAAGGCACGAGTTTACCCCAACTCCGATCTAGAAGGACTCACTTTCTGACTCCTCGGCATCCTCGTCCGACTCTTTCTCAGCTCCACCACGACTAGAACCGGCCTCTAACTGATCCAACCTCTGGTTGACAGTGACGAACTGAGTCTTCATGTAAGCGAAACCTTCCGTTATCATCTGGTTCTGCTGACGAAGAAGGGTGACCACACTCTCCTCGTGTGTCAT